GAGGAGGAGGAGGAGGAGGAGGAGGAGGAGGGAAGAGGAGGAAGAAGAAAAAGAAGAAAAGGGGAAAGAAGAGGAGGAGGAAGGACTGTGGGGTGTTTGGTGCTCTCTGAATTTGGTGGTTTTCTTGCAGACGTTTCGTGACCCAGCTAGGGTACATCATCAGGGTTAGAAGGGAATTGGGATTGCTCCCTGTTTACATACAAGTGGATTGGATAGAAGGGAATGTTTTTGCAGCTCAGGGTTGAATTGTGGGGTCCTTGGTGCTCTCTGATCTTGGTGCCTTTTTTTTGCTTTCTTTAAACAGTTTTTATTAAACAGTTTTCTTCATTTTATATCACAGTTTCAATCTTCACAACGCTTTGATATCAGTATATCTCCTAAGTACATGCAAATTGCTCGTCCTTTCCTTTTGTGTACCTATCTATTCTATACTATTTTGGTTCCATAACTATATATATATATATTTCCCTTTTTGGGTCACTTCTTAATTTACATCTTTACTTATTTTTGCATTCTTATATTTTGTTTCCATTCTCTAACCAGTTATATCAAATGTGTCCCAAATCAGATAATATTCCGTTTCTCCTCTTTCTTTCATTTCCATTGTTAGCCTATCCATCTCCGCACATTCTAACTTTTTTTTTTTTTAACCACCATTTCGCCGGAGGGTGATGTTGGTTTCTTTCTTGCAGACGTCTCGTGACCCAACTAGGTAACACCATCAGTGTTAGAAGGTTTGCAGAGTGGAGGAGAAAGAGAATGGGAGGGGGTAGGAGGAAGAGGGCACAAAACTCTCAGGGCCCTTGGTACTCTCTGAGCTGGGTGGTTTTCTTGCAGACATTTCTTGACCCAACTAGGTAACACCATCAGCGCTAGAAGGGGGAAGGAGGAGGAAGGGAGGACTGTGGGGTCCTTCGTGCTCTCTGAGCTTGGTTCCATGACCCAACTACATAACATTTTAGGCTGTGCAGTGATGGATAGATTGACTTTTAAAAATAAAAGTCAAATAAAAGTCAAAAATAAGAAACAAAGAGAATATTGCTTGACGTGGTTATAGATTCTAGGAGTGGTTAGAGAGAAGAGGTAGAAATTAGATGAGGAAAGACGATTGCTATGTACGAATTAAATAGAAAGACGGTTTATAATTACGAAAAGGCCAATATAATTAATGGAATTGTGGATAAGCTAATAAGAAGCCAAGATAAAGAAATGGAGCCCAAACTCTTCTGTTATATTATTACTACTGTCACCTGTATATGTGTTAATTAATATCTTGTTTGGTTCTCTCTCTGTTTTTCTTTGATATAACCTGACAATACGCTGTGTTCAAAATGTTTACGAATAAATAATAAGTTTAAATGTGACTTCAAATTCTCGCTTTCTTTTTTTAACCCGTTTCCGTTTCAGATGTTTTCCCCCAACAAATAGAAGGCGTCAAACTGATAATTAATAAATCTCTCAGTAGCCATTTCCAGGTGAGTCTCCTTGCTTCTACGGATGGGTAGTGGATGAGGGGCTTCGTAATACCTTAGCCTGCCCCGCAAGGGGGTGGTTGTGTGGAGTCGTGGAAGGAAGGAACCCTATCTCCCCCCCCCCCCCGCTCCAGCCAGCAAACAGACATTAAACTAAGTTGTCTTTCTACGGATAATTTTTGAGTGGCAACGGTTTGTTTAGGGACGACTCAAAATTACGACAGCACTGAACAACGGGACTTAGGACGCTGTTTCACACTTACGCCCATTGCAGCCTCCCCACGATTAAAATCCAGACACTTGGCAACTGACTCGTATTTGTGACCGGGGTGGTGGTGGGGTATCACGTGATCCCCTTTTGCGACCTACTGACCCGCAGCCCCCGGATTCGCTTAATGACCATGGCACTAATTTAATGCCTGCAGGGATTCGCTTAACCGCGGCAGCCGGAAAGGTCGTAAGACGGGGCGAAGCTCGCGTTTCACTTTGCGGCGAAAGTTTGGGGCTCAATGAGGACTATCTGCATGTCTCGTCTTTTGATTTAAAGCTTGCTGCTGGGGTTTTTTTCCCCCCCACTGTAGGTAGCCCACACCATTCACATGAGCACCATTGGCCACTCAGGTTACCATCTGAACACGACGTATGTTGGAGACCAGCAGCTCAGTCCTACAGAGGTGAGTGAAAATAGATTATTTCCGGTCAAAATGGGATTTAATTTGTCTTTTGGGTCCTAATTCCCAGGATACGAGTGGGTGGATTTTGGGTTCCTTGAAGTATGGCTTGCAAAATCATGTTAGTTAACAATCCTTAGGTATGAAAGGCAGTCAATCACAAGGTGACGGTGAGTTCTAGTCCCGCCTTAGGTATGAAGGTGGCTGGTGTCTTTGGGCCAATCACCAGGAGACGGTGAGTTCTAGTCCCGCCTTANAAAGGCTCAGCTTGGCTACCTTGTTTCCATCCAATCCGCTGCTCCGCTCGGCTTCCGCTCCTCCCGAGGACCAATCGCATCCTTTGAAAAAGAGGGCGGGGTGGAGCGGGGAGGGGGGAGAAAAGGAGGAGTGGGGCGGGGAAGATGGCCGCCCCCATCAAGATCACCGAGGGGGGGAAGGAAAACTGGGGGGGGCTCTGAATGCCTGACGCCTTTCTGACCCCCCCTTTCCCCCCCCCAGCCAATCTGCCCTTTTTCTTTTGAAAATAAAGGGGGTCTGGTTCCCCCCCAGCCCCCCCAAGCTTTATTTCTGCGCCCCCCCAAAAAACAAGCCTCCCATTCTCTCCCCCCCTCTCCATTTCGCAAGAGGAAGCATCCCCATTTTTATTCCATTTTTATTTCCCATCCTCATGTCTGCCAAAGGATTATTATTATTATTATTTTTCCTCCCATCCCCTTGGATTCCCCGGGAGCCACTCAGGTGGGGTTCCCTGGTGTGAAATAACACAAGCCTTCAATCCTTGTTAAACTGATGGGACAAGCCTTGGCTAGGTAGCCAGGCTTAAGGTGAGGCAGGGTGGGAGGGAGGGAGAGAGAGGATATGGGGAATATATTGGCTCCCTTCTCTGCCCCACGGAAAGGGGCTCGCCGGGCTGAAGGACTCTCCAACCCGGGTAGCTTCGACGAACTTCACCGCAAATGCAAAGGTAAAACAGATTTATTTTTATTTTGCTTCTATAGGGGTAGATTTGATTGGCAGGTCCTTGAGGGCCTGGTGTTTTGCTCCCAGACGTTTCATGGCCCAGCTAGGTAATATTATCAGGGCTAGAAGGAAAGGAGGATTGTGGGGAAGAGGAGGAGGAGGAGGAGGGAAGAGGAGGAAGAAGAAGAGGGGGAGGAAGAAGGGGAGGAGGACTGTGGGGTCTCTGAGCCTGGTGGTTTTCTGGCAGGCGTTTCATGACCCAGCTAGGTAATATTATCAGTGCTAGAAGGGAATGAGGATTGTGGGGAGGAGGAGGAGGAGGAGGAGGAGGGAAGAGGAGGAAGAAGAAGAGGGGGAGGAAGAAGGGGAGGAGGACTGTGGGGTCTCTGAGCCTGGTGGTTTTCTGGCAGGCGTTTCATGACCCAGCTAGGTAATATTATCAGTGCTAGAAGGGAATGAGGATTGTGGGGAG